CGCATCTCGGCCGCGACTGACGTAAGCCGATAAAAAATAGGAAGTAACTGTTCCTTAACCAAGCGTTCGACACTTTAAAGTGAAGTTGCGGGGTCCTTAAACACCGAGGCCCCGTGTTACGGCAGGCGTTGGCACGATAAAGATCCCTCACTGCTCAATGGCCCTGAGTGCCGAGTAAAGGTCTTAATTTGAAGCCCTTTACCGGTATATGGTGACGTCTCTGTAGGAGTGAAAAATTCTCGAATCGGACGGAAAACAACATACAATCAATCGTAGGCAATTTGGTATACTAAGTGCGCTATACCTCTTTGGTGATTCCATAAATCACCTGAAATGAATTTATAAAATTGTGTTTGGTGTGAACTGTGCGTTTGTGCATGCATATGGTTTACCGAACTTAGGTCGTTATCCAATACTTATATAAATCTAAAAGTAAAAATAGTGAAACTATTCCTACAAATAGATCTACATCTTACAAATAACTTTATTCCTTTATCATATTTTGAATACCTTTATCATGAAGCTGAAAATGAATTACATTGTAAACTTAATCGGAACAGGAGGAGTTCTTCAGAATGGGATTTGGAATTTTTGGATCAATTATTAAAATTTCTACATGTATTTATCTTATATAATAATTTTGATCTTTAAACATGGAAAGATCGTGTGATACCTAGCGAAGGATTGTGGAGCACATTTTGAAAATTCAACTTCTCATGGGTGGAAATTTTGTCAAATCCATAAATGACTAAGCTTACTCACTTCCAGTTGAAGATGACATCTTTTTTGTTAAATTTTTGCCGGAACGTTCTTTACAAAGGCCCTAAGAATACAATACATTGGTACATTAAATCATATTATTTTAGGTCTTCATCTACATACAATCTTGCTCTTATAATGTTGGTGTTTGAATGGGTCGGGATCGAAATTTATGCCTCAAACACTCGAGGGAAAATGAGTAATTGTCAGTAGGGGATTAAAGGGGGCCCAATAGCCCCCTCCCTAAAATTGTCAAATCTAAGATTAAACATTGTTTCATCTCTTTAGTATATATATATTTTTTGGATAAAGGAATATAAAGAAAAGCTTTATTTCTGTATTCTTCAACGACAGAGCTTTGTGCCTTTTTCTCACAGACCTTAACTATTAGTATTAGTATTCGTATTAGTTCTTATCATGAATTATGAAATGGAAAAAAAATGTCCTCTTGGAAGACTTCCGTTCTGCTCTACTAAATCTCTGTGTTTTAAATAATGAATAAAGAACATCCACTTTTTATGGGACGCATTATATAAACAACGACTACTCCCTAGTAAGGTCTACTTTAAGACACCAGTAATACCTGAAAGTTACATTAACAATTCCTACTCTGATTTAAAAACTAGTCATACTTGTTAATTCATGTTATGTGTGACTAATTGGACTTAAATGGTTTTGATATGTATCATTTCAAAAAAAAAGACTGCTTTCTTTCAGAATGACGTAGAAGCTACAAGTATCCTGCGGGACAATCTTGTTTGTTTGTTGATTTACGTTCCGTCTCAAGAATTTTTCACTCATATGGAGACGCCACTATTTGCCTGTTGACAGCTGCACAATTTTTACCTATACTAAGCACTCGGGCCATTGAGCAATGAGGGATCTTTTTCGTGCCAGCACGTACTGCAACACGGGACCTCGGCTTATACGGTCTCACCCGAAGGACAGGTCTCCACGTCCCACATTGGGATTCGAACCAGCGACTTAAGGATCAACTCCTTACCCCGCGGCTCTAGAGCAGACGCTCTAACCACTGCGCCACGCCGGCGACAGGGCAATCTATATAATATGATACATATGTCATAACATAACATAAATAGTATATGTAAAGATACAACATATTACTAACCCTAACCCTAACTATTTTCAAAAACAAAACCTGTTTTGTCGATAAGAAATTCAGTTTATATTAATAAAATGAGACAATGGCATGACTTAATATGTTTCCTATTTTAGTGCCCAAGACATTGAAAAATACGCAGACTGATTTACAAATATTTCGATGGAGTATGTTAAATGGAACATGCAGATCATAAAATTGTTTTCAAAACATTTTTGTGCATCGTCAACGGATTTTCACAAATAAATTCAATAATATTTTGGTGTTTAACAGGTTGTGGCAATTCATCACACTTTTTTAAACTCGGCCACATCTTATTGATTCTTATTTTCACCGTTGATTCACCCGTAAAATTCAAAGATCCTTCTCAAAGATACATATTTCTAACAATCTCAAAAGTAAATGATATTTCTTTCATTCCAAGGTACTTTTATCTTTTCTAGATAGACATGAATATTTTGTTCTCTTTAATAAACAATATTGCATGAATGATATGATTTTTTACTTCTTTTGATCAAATTATAATTTTTCTCTGTTGGGGATTTACTACATTATTTATTGGCCTCCAGCATGGTGTGTCATACTTTAGGTGAACTCGGTTATATCGTGATCAAAACAACTTTACCGTCGTTTTTTAAATAATGAGTATGTCAGGGTTAGGGTTAATATGTACGAGGGTTGATCAAAAAGTAATGTGACAACTGCAATAAAATCTTTAACAATTAAAATGTTATCAACGCAATTATACAAATTTCCTTTATTATTTTGAATTTTGCTTGGAAATTTTATTCGATTATAATTTTAAAATCCTTTTTTAAAATATTAAGATAAACACAACGTAAGGTTTTATATATTGCCGCTCGGCAAGACTGTTACCGAGGTCGTTTATATGACGTTACTTTTCGGCACTCAGTATCAGTTCATCTGCATATCTTTTTAGCCACTCAATAATATTTACTGCCATTTTGCTATAAACCGTCTTCTTTTGTGTTGTAGTAATAAATTATTTAAACTTTGTCCAAATGTTATTTCTAATTTTGTTCCTTTTTGCGTAAATGTTATGTATAATCATATTCAAAAATAAGGTCGACGTGAACGACGTCGGTACATTTTTTCCGTGCGGCGATACACGAGACACAACTTTGTGTTTATTTTGATATTTTGTAAAGAAATGCTTATATATCTGAATGAAATTTTAGGTTCAAAGTGAAGTTATACAGAGGTATTAATATGTAAAGTTTTTATGAAAACTTTCGAATGTTAAAGATTTTACAGCAGGTGTGACATTACATTTGGGTGAACCCTCGTATAATATAGCTCGTATATAATTTAACCACTTCTTTCATGACCTGTAGAGCTGCAAAACGGGGTCTAAAAAATCAAATTAAGCGGTGCATTTCATGCATCTGAAAAGCATACGTGTAAATAAGTTTTCTTTGTTGAAAAATTCATGTAAACATGTTTTTTCCAAAAATGATCTTTATTTCAAACAATAAAATCCGTGGGAAGGAGAAAGAAAAACAACTCCTAAACATGTTTTTATATTTACCTTAAAATTTTTAAAGTAGTTGCGCAAATTCACTGCTGAGTATCACTCAAAACAAAAATGCTAATATTCTAATGAACATAGTACTCTGATAATTTGATATTTAATTACTTTTAAGACAACTCGATTCCGTCAGCATTCATTCGAAGACCATCGCTGGTCATTTTGTAACGAACTCAGGTGTTCAGGGGTCGACCTGATGCATCAAAACACATAGTAGAGATATTGATAGATCGATAAATATCATATCTTCAAAATTCAGAAAACCCAGTCAATAGGATTAAAGACAAGTTTAGATATAAATATAATTCTGTTAGACATCAGACTTCCTTCTAATATTTCATTTTATTTTCATCAATATTGGGTCTCTTGGATAAAATTAAATATAACAATGGGTAGAATTTTTTTTATTTTTGTAGGCAAAACATCATATGATATTTTGCTATAGTAAATTTTCCTTTAGATGCTGGCCCGGCTTTTTTTATGTTGAAAGGTGGAGCAATGGCAATTTTTAGGATTTGGACATTAAATTAGCTTTCCCCCCATTTTTTTTTGCTTGTCCGATCATTTTGAGAAGCACCCCCCCCCCCCACTTTTGGTCAGTTAAGTTTTTTTTTCTGGCCTGTCAGGTTTTTTTGGGGGAGCCCAACCCCCAAATTTACTGCTACAGGCCTGCTATACACGGCATTCAGGGCCAGTAGGCAGTGAGGGATCTTTTTCGTGCCAGCACCTAATGCCACATGGGACCTTGATTTATACGGTCTAGTCCGAAGGACCGGTCTCTTCGTCCAGCAATGGGATTCGAACCTGCGACGTAATTATCAACTCCTTACTCCCTGACTCTAGAGCAGACGCTCTTACTACTGCGCTCTGTACGATAGTAAAGTCAAATTTTACACACCTTTAATACAAAAGATTTTTTATTCGAAAAAAAAAAAATTGGATAGCTAACACATTCTCAATGAACAATGGCTATATCAAAATTTGGTCGATTTTCAATTTGAAATTTTGAGTTTAAAAATACATGTACTTGTGTTCTATAAGAATGTGTCAGCAGTTTTTAAATTATATTACCCGTATATTACTTGTTACATGTATCAAACGGATTAACATAAGTTTGTCTCATTCAATACTGTCAAAGAACTGATTTTCTCAAATATCAAAGTGTAAAGAGATGCATTTATTAAAGGCTTTTAAATCCCGCAGATTTATGTCTTTTGACTTTAATTTTCATTTCTCTACAACTTAATACAAATTTAGATGTAACAATTTGCAATGATCTTAGGAGTAAAAAAATCATTGATTTGTTGACTTTATAAATCATACCTACATGTATGCGTGGGATTGCTAGGTAAATAAGCGAGTCGCATATAACACTTTAATCGGGTTATCCCCTTTTTTACAGGTGGTACATTTATTGCAATTAAAAAATATAGATAGAGAGTAAACACATCACGCAATATTAGTAACACCAGACATTTAATTCTATACGCTCCACCTGCCTAGTTTTGTATGTGGACGTATAAAAGGGTCTGTCTTTTACCAAGTGGCACAGTAAACCGTGTCCATACAAAAATGTGGAGGGTTCGGGGAATTCTCTTTGTGTTGGTGGCCGTTACATATTTTGGTCACATCGAGGGAAGACCCAAACACAAAGGTAAAGTATACTTATATTTCTAATTGACGGAATCGACGTTTTCTTCATAATAAAATAAATAACATAAGTTATACTCTGAAATATACCTGTTTTTATGATTTTTTCTTGGTCTTGAATTACATGTCCTCATTTAGTCTGCATTCCAATTACCACTAAAATGTGAATTACACATACAACAAAATACTGTATATGATAGATAAAGTTTGTATTCTAGTGATGTTACCGCAGTTTTTCATCATAAGAATGTTATATGTGTGTTTTTCCCCTTTTATCTTTGGTTAACATACGCTTTTATTATACATCATATTACTTACCACTAGTAAGATAGCATCTGATTGGCCGAGAAGGTCACGTGTAAAATATATATATTTGGAGTAGTGTTTTCTAAGTGGGGTTTGAATGTTACTGGTGTGCAAATCACACTGACGAAGGGATTTTTTCCCTTTTTTTATGAAGCACAGCTAGTGGTGTAACTTACTTATGTTTCATATTGTTCTTATCAAATGTTAAACTTTACTTTATTCATTGGATCTTCTTTATATTTCCTGCATTGTGCTTGATTCGGTATAATAAACAATTTATTGCATGATCGTGAGGGAGACATGAAGATTTCTTCACCCATGAAAAACCGGGGAATATGGTTTTTCATGGGCGGCGAAATCTTCATGTCTCTCTCACTATCATGCAATAAATGTACAATATCCGATAAAATCTACATCTTCAACAGAATTGTAACGTACAGGATCAACAAATTGCTATTTAATTTAAAACGAAGTTATTAATATCATAACATACGCTAGTGATTTATTTCATTAATTGACAAAACATAATACTAAAAATACAATGTCACTGGTGCAGTTTATCTTAAGGTCAATTAGTATTCAGCTGAGGAACAATGATGTACTTTCTCAATAAAGGCGGGGGGATCGGGGTCTGTGGTTTGCTTCTGTAATAAATCTATTTGGTATACTTGATTGCTTAGTTGTTTTATTTTTTCCAAAAAAATCGTTTGTTATGTTCCGTGCAGAACATTCCTTATGAAATTCTACAGTGGTACACATACACATGTACTGTTGGAAAATGACGAAAAGGGATTTTTGAGTGTTATGTATTTTTTAAGACTCAAGAACACAATATGTCAGATCTACAGTACCGACCAGACACAACCTAACAGAAAGCAGACCACAACTGAACCACGGGTTCGCTTTCCGTGTTTCCTTTGGGTTCGCTAGGGCTAAACCTAAACCAAACGCCGATAGCGAACCCCGATTTCAGAAGCACCCAGAAAGCGCACCCGGCGTTCGCTATTACGTAACAGACTGTCAATCAAGATAAGGCGTTGACCAAACAGCGCATCGACCAATCAGTATGCCCATTGACATCTGATGTTAATCATAACATTTGTATACATACAGTTGTAAATGTATACGCAATAAAAATACAGTTTTTTCGATGGGTGGCACTGTAGCTCTCTGATCGTCCATCCCAATTCGTTCAGACCAGCGAGCTACAGATCTGCAGCTAATTTCCTGCATGCAAAACAGTAATTTTGATATGTAACAATTGTGAAATGTACAAGACCACGTGGTACGGGAAATCAGCTCTGTACACATTCATGACACATATTGAAGCCTAAGCCTCAAGGAGTTTCAAAATGGGATAAAAGATAAACTTGAGAATCTGTCTTCCACCACCATGAAAATAATTTGTAGGGAGAGGGCTAAAATAGGCTATGCCTACTGACCACTCCAATTCACTTCATAATAAAATTATGTATAAATAAAAAATAATGATTTTGAAAACATTTACAAAGAAATTGATAATGTTGCTGATCCAGGAATTTTTTTTTCAGGGAAAGGTCCTTACCCGATGAAAAAAAATAATAATAAAAAAATTTAAAAAAAATGTTTTGTTTGATCTCTGTCGGCCAGTCAAAATGCCCCAAACGAATCATTTTTTAAACATTTTATTTATTTTTTTATTTATTATTATTTTTTTTTTTGGCTTGTAGGGAAATACAAATTGTCCGAATAATGTTAAGGTTTATCATTTCACAAGACTAAGATACATTTAAATTGAACCTTATAGCAATAAAAATAATATTAAATCTGTCTAGCTGTATTGTATTAATAATGAAAACATAAATAGATTTCTGACACCCCCCCCCCCCTTCCGCCAAAAGAAACAGAAAAATCATAAAAAATAAACAAACACAAAAAAATCTATACCTCGGACATGAGGGTGGGGTGGGGGTTAATCACTTATGAATGAACCGCTTTCTTTCATGTTTATGAATAACGCTTCTTAACCTTAACGTTTGACAAGGGATCCGTGTTTTTCTTACAAATGACTCTTACCAATTTATGTGCATAGTATCTGGAAGGGGTGGGGTAAGTCCTGCTCATAAGTTACTTTATTATATTCATTTAAAAAAATGAAAACCGTAGGAAGAAGGCAGGGACAGATTTTTTTTCAACATTTTCAAGGACTAAAGTTTAGAAATAATGTTTACATTACACACCATAAAGTGTACGATTCCATCAAGCTTACCAACCAACTTAGCAACCGACATAAATTCAAGAAAGCACAAAAAAGGTTATCCGAACAGGTGTCCAGCAGATTTTTATACCCCCGCTCCGAAGGAGAGGGGGGTATACTGTTTTACCTTGTTAATCCGTGCATCTGTCCATACCATACATAACAAATTTTGGTCGCAGTTTTCTCAGCAATTACTCATCGCAGATGCTTGAAACTGTAGCACACTCTTTGTTAAGGCATGTCATATGATGGGATTCATTTTTGTACGAATCTGATGTCAACTTCCTGTTTATCCGTGTGTCTTTCAATACCATATATAACAAATTTTGGTCGCAGTTTTCTCAGCAATTATTCATCACAGATGCTTGAAAGTTTAGCACACTCTTTGTTTAGGCATGCCATATGGTGGGATTCATTTTTGTACGAATCCGATGTCAACTTCCTGTTTATCCGTGTGTCTGTCCGTACCATATATAACAAAGTTTTGGTCGCACTTTTCTCAACAATTACTCATCGCAGATGCTTGAAACTTTAGCACACTCTTTGTTTAGGCATGTCATATGGTGGGATTCATTTTTGTACGAATCTGATTTCAACTTCTTGTTTATCCCTGTGTCTGTCCATAAATGAACCTGTATTGCAAAGTAAAATGGATTTAGGCTTTCTCTGTCAACTTCTCTGAAAAAAAAGTCACAGTAAAAAAAAAATTGACTGTCACTGGAAAAGTGTGGGGTGTTGGATAGGGTCAGAAAATGTACCTTTTAGAACAAGGACTTAGTCTACAAAACCAAAAGAGTGATTTTACATGCATGTAGCAAAATTCTCTACGCACAAGTCACCCAATATGGTAAGTGTATAGACTTTCAATATTTTAACTTGGCTACTTTTTTATCAATAAATGACCTCAAAAAACCAATTTTCCTAGTATTTTCACATTATGCATCAAGCTAAAGGTGAGAATGTTTTACCAGTTTCAGTAAAATACATTGTATATAAAACAGGACAAAATTTTATAAACCATATTGACCTTAAACTTGACCTTTTGACCTATTTACCAATTCATGTGATGCTAGTTATTGTCCAACAGAATTATTATTTTGTTTATTCATGTTGTTTAAAACACTAGTTGACACCGAAAAAAAAAGTGCTTAGTTTCCTTAAATTTCCGTCTATATTGACCTTTGGTCATGAAAATTGATTTTCTCTTTGTTCTTGCTTTTGTGTTCCACATATCTAAATTTGGTTTTAATCTATTTTATAATACTCAGGTATTTATATGGAAACTGATTGTAGATACCTAAATTGCCTTTGTCTGGAATTCTTAAAAAAGCATAAGATTGTAACCTTGGTAACATGAAAACAAAATATGAATACCAAGTGTTCTTTGAAGTTTATATTAGAACTATATATCGGCTTTCACACCAATGTATTTATTTTTTTTCCCAAAATGTCCACAAACCTTTATACCAGGCTTTTGAAAAGAGCCTCAAATCTACTATTTTTCCTCAGAGAAATCCTACTTAAAAACGGGGGATATTTTTTGAATGAGGTAAAGTTACTCAAATGCTAGAAATTATCTAAAGAACTATAAAAATAATGTATTTTGGCAAAATGATAAAGTTATGAAAATATCTTTTTCTGTCAAAGAATTTTAATGAGTCAAAAACGGTAATTTTTCATCAAAATTTAGCGTTTTTAGTCCATGAAAAATGTATGTTGGTTGCCATGGTAACCACTGACCATAGTAACCATTTTATTATGAATTTTACTTTCAAGAAATATATGGCGATGACGAACAGTATTCAAGCTCAAAAGTCTATTAAACAATACAAATTTAGGAGCAGAGCAAAAACGGATCTTTAAAACATCTGAGGTGGGATCAGGTGCCATGGAGGAGTGAGCATCTCCTGCCGGCACACCCACCGTGTGCTCCTTGTCGTGATCGGGAAATAACGGAAAAATCCGTCGACAATTTAGGGTGTAAATGATGGCCTAACAATTAGTATGAAAAACGTCAGTCAGCATTTGACTTAATGATAAATTGTATTTTCTGACAAGGTCATTGTATCGACCATAGAACTTATGAAATGACGACTTTAAACAACTGCTGATATTCTTGTTTCATCAACATTCAACTTGTTTGTCAATAATTTACCTCGTTTTAGAAATTGTTCATACGTACAGCATGCTATTGCGTATCGATTCAACTGAGAGATATAAACCCCGTACGCAGGTGATGAAGGTATATTGCTGCATAAGTTAGGGGAGTTGACGATTGAAAAGTTAAAGTTATCATGTTTATCATAAAGCTTTGTTGTTAGATTACCATTAACGTCTTTTTCTAGTAAAATATCCAAATATGAAACAGATGTGCCAGACTCTGTGGTATCTTTTATTTCAAGCTCACTGGGATATATCGTATCAACATAAGAATTGTTTGTTTATTGTTTAACGTCCCTCTCGAGAATTTTTCACTCATATGGAGACGCCACCACTTGTCGGTGGAGAGCTGCAAATTTTGACCTATACTCGGCACTCGGGAACATTGAGCAGTGAGGGATCTTTTTCGGTGCCAGCACCTACTGCGACACGGGACCTCGGTTTATACGGTCTCATCCGAAGGACCGGTCTCCACGTCCCACAGTGGGATTCGAACCCGCGAGGTAAGGATCAACTCCTTACTCCGCGACTCTAGAGCGAACGCTCTAACCACTGCGCCACGGGGGCGACGACATAAGAATTGAAATAACCATTGTTAATTGACAATACGTCGTCGATATATCTAAATGTCGAGTTGAAGGTCACAGCAAGTGTTTTCTTCTTTTCACTTATAAAATTTTGAACAAATTCTGCTTTATATGAATACAAAAAAAGGTATGGCACCTGATCCCACGTCTGATGTCTTAGAGGTCCGTGTTTGCTCTACTCTTATTTCGTAATATTTAATGGACTTTGAGCTCGAATACTGTTCGTTATCTCCACATATTTCATTAATAAATGCTTGATGAAAAACAAATTGAATCAAATGGACAACCAATTAGACTTAGTATTGAGCAAATTTTAAAAGCTTTTATTCATAATTTTATGTACGTTATCTATAAGGAATAAGTCCATCAAACCATTGAAAAACTAGAGGTACTGTGAGCACTGAGCTCACAAAACATCTCCCATATGTTTAAAAGTACATATTTTGCTTTGGGAGACCCGATATATGCGTCCGATCAAACAGTAAAATAGAAGATGCATAACGGCACTATGTAACAAAGATTCTGTGAAAATATCGTTAAATTTTATTAGGGGTATAAGAGGAGTTGCGAATAAGAGATGGGTACCCCTCAATATTATAGAAAAAATGGCAGTGTCTATGTTTTGCTATTGGAAACCCGAAATATGTGCCCGATGAAAAAGTAAAATAGGAAGTGCACAATGGCACTATAAAACAAAGGTTCTGTGAAAGTATCATTAAATTTTATTCAGTGGTATAGAAGGAGTTGCGGATAAGAGATGTGTACCCCAACGCGTAACGGACGGACGGACACCCCCATTACTTTATATCCTCACTTTTCAAGCGGGGGTATAATAACGTCTCATTTCCCCATGTGCACATTCTAACACAACCGCAACCAGATTAGCTGCTCCTGCGGCCGATAATGAAATATTTATTCTCCTTAAATCCGGCGATTCTCCATTCATGTTTAATGTTTAACAATACCATCCCAGATCATCTTTACTAAGAGCAAAACTATTTTTTCCTTTACTACCTACAATACCTAATTTTAAACTCGTATTCTATCTGTAGAAACCTAAAAATCAAATTTATAAAATATATGTTGTTTTTGCACTTCCCCCCCAAAGCTTCGAGGGATCGTCTTATAGAAGATATAAGGAGATTTTTGGAACTTGCTGAAAACGAGGCAAACCGGGTAAGTGCTAATTTTGGTTGGAAAAATAGACAATATGGGATGCTTTGTGTTAATACTGTTAGCTATATTTATGTTTTGAGCAATGATCAAGTTCGCCCCGGATATTGCCGGGAAACTTACAAGAAGCATTTATTCAAATTATTTCTTCTTCAGCGGCGCCGCATTGAGAAGAAATCAATTCTCAATGATCTCATATAATAATCAGGGCTAGGAATTATTTCTACACATGTTTTCTTCTTCAGCGGCGCCGCATTGAGGAGAAATTAATTCTCAATCAACCTCATATAATAATCAGGGCTAAGAATTATTTCTACACATGTTTAAAACAGATTTTAATTATTGTTACGATTTTCTAAGATTGAAGATCAGCGGGAAAATAAAAGCGAAAACCAGACACGTAACGAAGACGAAATAGATAATAAGGTATGTTACCATATAGGTTAGAAAAAAACAACATTCAACTATGTGTATGATAAGAAACATATAAGAGATAGGACAATAAATTCGATAGAAATTACTATAACCCAGGCATACTTAAAATAATTATAAAATAACTCATCATTCTATATAAAAAAAAATATCGACTGATCGTTAAATGTTTTGATTACGTCAGCTTGCCTTAATTCTGTTTTTAAAATTCTTGTACAATATGACTTGCTTATGGGAATTTTTTAGGACTTCATTTTTTTTCATTTCCCTGCCCAAACTTTCTCCAGTAAGAAAAAGATGTTTAAAAATAATACATATGACTGAGTGAATACTTCCTTAGAATGAAGACCTCTGTGTAAAAGGAGTAAATTGTACAAGGTTTTCTTTTTCTCTGTCACAAAACAAAAGTCATCGTGAGTTGACATATCGAAATAAACTGTTTTTTTTAGAACATCGATCCCGATGATCCGCATGGGCAGCTGTTGTCCAGTTTTGGTGTAGTAGTGAATGGAAAAGTCCTGCACGTGAGTTGATCTTAGAAGACCCAGTATCAAATTTCCTTTTAAAATATGTTTGAGAATATGATAAAGATTGAACTCTGCATGATTTCGAGAAACAGGAACTCAAACAAAGTATACTGTAAAGGGTCTGATATTTTCCGTAGGTAAAACGGTCTCGTATTACAGTAAGTAAAACTTGTGAACTTTCAGTCTAAGTGGCTTCATCCAGAAGATTCAGAAAAGTTTAAGGAACAGAAATTGGACAAAACAATTGAGAGAAAAGAAGAAACGGACAAAGAGGGGGAACCCGGAAAAGAGGTCTGTCATTCTTATTGCTACACACACACACACACACACACACATATATATGTATATATATACTAATCATAAAGCCGTTATTTCAAGCGCTTTGAACCTATTATATTATAACGTGTTATAGTAAAGTTGCAAGATGTATCATTCAAAGGCCGCTCAAAGTATCGTTTTTTTATATAAATAATGCCTTTTTTTATATTTAGAAACGCAGAAAAAGGAATTTTGGACCGAGTTGGCCTAACTGGCCAAAAGGCATCGTTCCCTACATCTTTGACGACAATTTGCGTACGTCTATATTCCTGATTTTAATTTTTGTTACTTCGGCCATACTTTTTTTTACTGCTATAAAGCTATATACAAAACCGATATAATTGTGCATCAGTGAATATATAAAAGATTTAGCCTCATGTCTCCTTTTCTGCTATTCATTTGAAAAACGAGGGCAATAGTCAACTCAAGAACTGATCTTACCTTGTTTTTTTTTCTTTTACGCAGTTGAAAATAAAGGGTACTTCCAGGAAGCTATTGAGGTGTTTAATAAACTCACTTGTATTCGCTGGAAGCCAAGGTCATCTGAAGTAGCCACGGAAGTGGGTCACACCGGATATGTTCGAGTTAAAAAGTACTCACTAAAATTTCATATTTTCTTAAGTGGACAATATGGATATTCCTATTTGTCTCATGTTAAGGAACTATATTTTGACGATAGAGTTGGAAAATTATCATGACCTTTAAAGCACAATGAATATTTATCGTGACCTTTAAAGCACAATGAATAATTATCATGACCTTCATAGCACAAGGAATATTTTGGAAATGATTGAACGTTTATGTAGTGACGGATTTCTTTCTTTTCAGCAGATTTTAAAGAATACCCTAAATCATGAAAAATCAATTTAAAGGACTTTTTGTTTCTTTGGAGATGTTATTTTTACAAGTAGTACTAGTTCCATGGTATATTTTAAAAAAAAACTTTACAAACACTCTAAGCATAAACATCTCTTTTTAAATTTATACTTCAAATTTGCAGAGAGAGAAAATATCTTATGCTTGGTCTATTCTTCTTTTGCAGTGTTTTGTCGGTCTATAGAAAAAATATCGATTAAATTATTTTTGCATATGATAAAGAATATAGCATATAAAATACTGTTGAGTATATAATAGATATATAATACATATAGAATACTGTTGAGTATATAATAGATATATAATACATATAGAATACTGTTGAGTATATAATAGATATATAATACATATAAAATACTGTTGAGTATATAATAGATATATAATACATATAAAGTATTGTTGAGTATATAATAGATATATAATACATATAAAGTACATAATAGATATATAATACATATAGAATACTGTTGAGTATATAATAGATATATAATACATATAAAGTACTGTTGAGTATATAATAGATATATAATACATATAAAGTACTGTTGAGTATATAATAGATATATAATACAGTACAGGCAACGCGGATCCCGTATTAGACCGCGTCCCCTCGGCGGTGTGTTAATCCTTTCCGCGTTACACCGTCGCGGGTTTTGATCGCGGTACTACCTGCGACCGTGTGTACACGGCGGCGGGGCCAGCTACCGTTATTCTTTATCTTAGATGTTGTTACCTGTAAAGTGTTGTCGATTTTTAATAGCGTCAAAAAAAGAGGGGTGTAAGCCATTAAAGGTTACAGCCTGCATTAATTAAATGAATTTTTAATTCAATTTTTAAGTACCGGTATTATCAAATTGTATAATAATACTTGTATAATTATTTTTTATCTATCTTTTTTTAAAAGTCATTCAAAATTAATTAATTCTCAAATTTAAAAAAAGAACGTATAATGCTAGTGTTTGTGGTAAAATTTGACGAAATATCGTCAACTGAAATATCGTATATATTTTTTAAAATCAATAATTCCACCATATATGATCATGAAATTGCTAAATAGTGCACATTAAAATAGATTTTTTAAAAATGCCATATCATTTCTGTTAAAATGCATTAAATACAGTGTTCACGATTTGCCAGTGCCAGTGTGGTTGTGTTCTTGGTTACATGTAGCTATGCGTTTATTTTTCTCCGAGATTCTATCACGGTCATTGGTTTCTTGAAGAAAAAATGCCTCTGTATACGTATCTGTTATAAGTATAAGCATGAAAAACGATGCTAGAAAGAGATGGTAACAGTATGATATTAAAGAATAAACACGTGTACATTTAGGAATATGTTGCACAATTAACTTCTGACAAATATGCGCTAAACAGAAGAAATATCAACATGATCTTTCTTTCTTTTTTTTTTTTTTTTTTGGTTATTGTTGTAAATAAAATCATTACATTCTATTCAGAATAATTTCATAGTTAGTATTTGACTGTATTTCTGTTTCTTTTCTTTTTGAAATTAATATAATCATGCGGCTCTTCAACAAATTTCACGTACATGTATTGTCAAATCAGAAAGGACGGCTCTTTTATAAGCTGTTTATATGAGCCTAAAAAATAATTTGAACATACAAAATAGTAGATGAACTAATTATAATCAGCGGTAGGCTACAAGTTTTCAGGTGTCTGTGTAACTGGCCTATACCCTTACGAAATACCTGTAATACTGTCAAATTGCGTAATCTTACATCATGAAGAATGTTGGCGACCTTGTAAATAAGTGTCTTGGAATCAATCTCTTATCAAGCAGTTAGTTTAGTTAAATTAGTGTCTGTGGCTATAACTGTTCCCATTAACTGGCAGAATTAGACAAAGTGCTTACTGGTCAATAAACCGATAAATCAGCTACAGTAATACCTATCTGTTCACAGAAACGACTATTTTGAAACCGAACAAAATTTGATTCACAAGCAATTTCATTTATTGTAAATGATAATTATAAATCGATAAATCAATAAACTGATTTAGGAAAAACGATGCACGTGCCGTATATATTTACATGTACAGGTACATGTATGAACGTATAAACTGAGACGTAAACAAAATACATGTACTTAAAAAACATAATTTGATTTGAAATTTTTTATTTTTTTTTTTCAACTCTATTAATTTGTTTAGAAAGTTTGATTTTTAATATACACACAGTTAGGGTTAAAAAAAAAAAAGCAACTGTGAATATATTGTCTCAAATTTCTTGGTTGAAAATAAAGAAATAATGAGACATTGAATGGACTGGTATGTCGTATGGCTAGACAACGATGTGCGCATTCGGAGAGATTTACCTCAGGTACCCTAGGACACTCACAGGTGTGAAACCCCCAGGGCATGCCGTTTCCTGCTCTGGGTCTGCTAATCCCTATACACAGGAAATGATCGCGGCTAATACTTAATACACAAAGAAACAAAATTTGTCAAAGTATACGTTAGCATTTGATTTTTTCCTTGAATATTATTGAAAATAAAAGTGTTGTGAGTGTATAATATCTCCCTTCTTTACATGTATATTTGTTCTCTGGAGCTCATCACCATGCATGCACATCCCATGTTATTTTTTGAACATGTAAATGGAGAAATGATTATTTTTTTTTTTTTTAAATCATCGTTTACCAAAGAATTAAATATCAAGGTGAAGAAAGGATGATAGTTTTTTTTATTGATAGCTTGTATACCGTTTACGTGCCCACTAACTGCAAACTCTCAACTTCGAATATTACAGCTTTCCAGTAATTTGATATTTTCAGAAAAATGCTTGCACATTCGTACAATAAAGCGAAATTAATTTAATGAATTATAGTGTTCTAAATTTGGTAAAAATACAAAAACATAAACAATATAAAGATGCACCTTTTTTTATTTCATAGGAGTGTTGAAAATTGTTAATCGGAACTCGCACTGATTATTATTTAGCACGTGTACATCATTATTGCAATTCGCACATAATTTGAAAAGACTTTTTAGAGCTAATAAACCCATCATTTAATTTTGTTTCATGCTAAACTCTCAAATAACACAGCTTATAATTCTATTTAAACGAAAGATGTCGCCTTAGCATTGATACATGCAAATAGTTTTAAATACAAATCTAAAAAAGTTTATAATATCTTCTGCTTTACAAATTCCTTTTAGGAGTATGTTTATTATTTTCTATTCATCGTTGCAAAACAAAAGAAAATACTTTCATAAATAAACATACTCTGTAGTTATTCTTTGTTACTACATGAAAATTTCGCAAATTCTCGTTCGGGGAGATAACTCCCGTTTGTTTACGATACTAGTTGATCGATGATTTAACCGCGACGGGGACAGGTAGGTGATGAATTTCCCGCGGAGGGAACGCGGTTTACCTGTCTCACCTGGCCAAATCCCGCGTTGTGTTTATACCGCGACGGGGCGCGGGAAATACGGGATCCGCGTTGCCTGTACTGTACATATAAAATACTGTTGAGTATATAATAGATATATAATACATATAAAATACTGTTGAGTATATAATAGATATATAATACATATAAAGTACTGTTGAGTATATAATAAATATATAATACATATAAAATACTGTTGAGTATATAATAGATATATCATACATATAAAATACTGTTGAGTATATAATAGATATATAATACATATAAAATACTGTTGAGTATATAATAGATATATAATACATATAAAATACTGTTGAGTATATAATAGATATATAATACCTATAAAATATGTTTAGTATATAATAGATATATAATACCTATAAAATACTGTTTAGTATATAATAGATATATAATACCTATAAAATACTGTTTAGTATATAATTGATATATAATACATATAAAATACTGTTTAGTATATAATATATATATATAATACATATAAAATACTGTTTCAGCGGATCAAGTTGTAGTTCTGGCGTGGGCTTCTACGGAAGTGATGAACACGTGATAAATTTAGCAGAACCCGGATGTGGATCGGTAAGTAGGATTAGCTTTAACCTTCGTATTAAACAACATTTGCTTAAATCGCGAAGATTTGATTCATACTGTTCCATTTTCCTACTATTTTCTAGATCTGCTAGAAAATAAAGCATTTCCTCTTCACCCTTTATTACAAGTAATTATATAGTCTTGACTTTTAAACGTCATTGTTTTGGTTGAATCACTAAAACTGGATAGAAGTTTATCAATTAACAACAATTAATGACGTATATTTCTTGTTTTTAACTCCTTAAAATAGACACCAATTTTAACAATTTTACAAAATATACTTATTAAGGTTGGCATAGCGGTTCATGAAATGCTGCATAGACTTGGACAAAGGCACGAGCATGTTCGAAGTGATCGGGATAAGTATGTCAGAATTGTCTGGAAAAAAATCAAACCCGATTCCAAGTATCATTACTACAGACGCTTGACCTACAACCGAAACCCGTACGATTTAGAAAGCATAATGCATACGGTTAGTTTGATTAGGAACCCAAATGTAAGGAAATCTGGGTTATAAGGACTTTATCTCTATCCCTTAAACATAACATCTTCGTACATACATGTAAAGTATAAAGAAATTAATTTATAAGGATCTAGCGGGAATGCATACGGTTAGTTTTATTAGGATCTCAAATGTAAGGAAATCCGAGTTATAAGGACGTTATCTCTATACCTTAAACACCTTCTTACATACATGTAAGGTATGAAATATATGGAGATAACGAACAGTATTCAAGCTCAAAAGTCCATTATACAATACAAAATAGGAGCAGAGCAAACACGGACCTCCAAACATCAGAGGTGGGATCAGGTGCCATGGAGGAGTGAGCATCCCCTGCCGACCGGTCACACCCTCCGTGTGCTCCTTGTCGTGATCGGGAAATAACGGAAAAATCCGTCGAGAATTCAGTGTGTAAATAATGGCCTAACAATTAGTATGAAAAACGTCAGTCAGTATTTGACTCAATGATAAAGTGTATTTGCTGACAAGGTCATTGTATCGACCATAGAACTTACGAAATGATGACTTTAAACGAGTCATCAACGAGCTGATATTCTTGTTTCATCAACTTATTTGTCAATAATTTACCTCGTTTTAGAAATTGTACATACGTAGAGCATGCTCTTGCGTATCGAATCAACTGAGATATATATACCCCGTATGCAGGTGATGAAGGTATATTGCTGCATAAGTTAGGGAAGTTGACGATTGAAAAGTTAAAGTCATCACGTTTATCATAAAGCTTGGTTGTTAGATTACCATTAATGTCTTTTTCAAGTAAAATATCCAAATATGAAACAGATGTGTCAGACTCTGTGGTATCTTTTATCTCAAGTTCACCAGGATATATCGTATCGACATAAGAATGAAAATAGCCATTGTTAATTGACAATACGTCGTCGATATATCTAAATGTCGAGTTGAAGGCCATAGCAAGTGTTTTCTTCTTTTCACCTACAAGATTTTGGACAAATTCTGCTTCATATGAATACAGAAAAGGTCTGCTAATAACGGGGCGCAATTGGTACCCATAGAAATTCCAATAGATTGTTGGAAGACCTGGTCTCCAAAAACCACATAGATATTGTCAATCAGAAACTCAAGCATCTTAATTTATTAGGATCTAGCGGGATGTAAGCGAGTTTACTGTATTCATCTTAGTTTTCATCAAGTGGAAGTTGCTTTAGTCGCTCAGAAAACTATGCTTATTATAACAAATGTACTGCATTGGTAGAATTATCCTATACATATCAATATTATGTGTATATATTTTCAGTCCTTTGGCAGTAAAAACACTGTAGTAGAACTCCGAGACAAAAACTTGTTGTTCCTGAACGCCCCAAACGACAAGATTTTCTCCTACTACGATTTAAAGGATGTCCTGGATCAGTATGGATGTGCCGGTAATAAACAAACACTCTAATACACTGGTAATAAACAAACACGCTAATTATATTTACATTTGCTGTTTTTCTACTAAGCCAACTGTGAAATTGATTTGAAAACCATGTCTGTGTAATTATACACGGAGAAACTAGCGCTAAAGTGACGTCACAATGAGGCTACAGAGACGTTAATAAAATATGACATATAGGGCAGGGAGAAATTCTAACATTGAGTATATTTTTGGTGCATATAAGCATATAGAATGTAAATATAAGGAATGTTTATTAAGTTTAGTGTGATTTATTGGTGTATAAATCACACAGACGTACACCTAGGCATATCTTTCATGAAGCGCTAGCGCACTTCATGAAATATGCCTACGTGACAAGTCTGTGATTTACACACCAACAACTCACACAAAACTAAAAACATTCCTTAAATGAATACACCGGTTATAAACAAACACGCTATCTTGTAAGCAGTGGATAAGCACTGAGGTGACCAACTACTCCGCTTAAAGCAGCAAGTATCTGCAGCTTCTAAGCTCATATTCATTGCAAAACTTGTTTTTATTGATGGGAGTAAATGGATTAAAAATTTATATTTTATGACGTGTACGTACATGTAATAGTCGGTGAAAGGATCATTTTTTTTTACAATTGCTGTTTGGAAAAAAGGGTATTTTCGCGAAAAAAGTTATTCAATTTAAAGAGGGGAAGAACCCAAAGACCACATCTAAACAATACGTCTGTTATATTTATGTAGTTTTAATATTTTCAGCTCATTGTACCTCTTCCCCTGTCTGCGAGAATGGCGGTTACGTGAACGCCACGTGTCAGTGCACCTGTCCAACGGGATTTACTGGAAGCACGTGCCAGACGGTAGTTACAGATCCAGGTAATGAAATATTATTAACTAAATACAAAAGTCGTCACTTACAATTCTTAAAAGTTTAGAATTAGCGCTTACGTTTGGCTTTCATGGAATTTCATTTGGAAACGTTTTCCAAAAAAAATACTGACACGTATCAAAGAAAAATTAATATTCATTTTTTTAAGTTGAAATAATTGAACTAAACTTAGCATATAATTTATGAAGATAAGATATGAAAATATATCATATTCAGTTCTCCAAAGCAAACTCAAATGTTATCCGCTTAGAGCACGATTTACTCTTTGATCTGTTGTTCCCATTTGTCTAACGTAGCCCTTGATTTTTTAAATAGATTGTGGTGGATACGTTTATCTAAAGGAGAGTGATCTTGTTTTAGAGCCAAACAAAGATGTATCAGTCACATCTCCTAATTATCCCGGCCCTGTCGCACAGGGGAAAATCTGTAGATGGGCAGTCAAGGTATTTCACAAAATAATACTGTGTTCTGTATTTACCTGCATCTGGCTACAAGTTAATCATAAAATGGCCACCTGAGTTATTTACCCCATTCTATAGCTTTCAGTAATGAAAATGGTTGTCGGTAATTTGAGCTTTTTGTCCGTAATCTCATTTTAGCGATACTCAGGTTACACTTTGCTTCGTAAATGTGGTAATTTTTAAGTAAACATTATGATTGTTTATTTAGTCTTTGATCATATCTTTGAGAAATTTGTGTGAAAATTATTTCATTTTTGTTTTGTTTGTTTGTTTATTGTTTAACGTCCCTCTCGAGAATTTTTCACTCGTATGGAGACGCCACCACTTGCCGGTGGAGAACTGCAAATTTTGAATTATACTCGGCACTTAGGGCCATTGAGCAGTGAGGGATCTTTATCGTGCCGGCACCTACTGCGACACAGGACCTCGGTTTATACGGTCTCATCCGAAGGACCGTATTTCATTTTTGTAAATCATTTCCACGACATAAAAAAATTAAAAATCTCCAAAGAACCGGGAAGCGTAATTTTTGGAAATAAATTCAAAGTCCGCATTTTGACACAAAACCCTGACAGAAATGCGGGATTTCCAGGTAAGGTAAACTAGTTTTCAATGGAGCGTGAAAAACGTAAACTGAAATTGCAAATCTAATATATTTATTTTTTACATCTATATCTCGTAAACATTACAGTCCCTGAAACGTTCTTCTTTCCCACTTGAACGGTAAACGAACGCTGACAAAACGCAGAGCGAACGGTGAGTGAATGATGTGTGAACGCTGAACGCAACTTGGTGAACGGTGAGCGAACGCAGAATGCGAACGGAGCGCAAAGGCTAAGTGAACAGTGAACGAACGGTGAACGATATATTCGGAATGCTTCTGATCTTGTCCTTGCATTGAAACCATTCTATTGTATTCTAATGTCAGGTGCCAAAAAATAAACAAATAATAAATAAATAAACAAACCAATGATTAAATAAATAAATACTACAAAATTTTCTCAAGAAAGACGATACATGCACATTAAGTATCTTTCTAGATTCAGCTTTTTAATCACACATTATTTTTCGCTGTAAAACATTGTAATTGTAACCGAATTACCAAACGCTGTAGTATAAAAGATAAAAATATTTTAGTTAATAAATAATTATTAATAAATTAATAAATATGTCTATTCTTATTTGATATAAATAACCATTACAAATAGGAGAAAACTTCTGACTTATATAATGAACTACAACGGTTGTAACATCCATTCGTATATTTCCGTGCCAAGGCGATTCCGTATAAAATAATGAAAAAAATATTAACAATGGTCTGTGGCAAATTTGCATTCTTACACTCATGTGTCATTTCTATTTTTTATGATGATTTATTGAGCAGACTTCTACACGGCCAGGAACACGTTAAGTTCTTAGACAGTACCGTTGTCAGAAACCTTTAAAGTTAAGCACTGAAACTGGTTCGTTGTCATGAACATACAGGTGAGGTTATGATAAAATCCGTCCGGTGTCATGACTTGAGAAGACAGGCTGTGAGAAGTTTTTCATTTTTCAAGTTAAATTATCTATAAAAATGTCTGAAATTGCAATGGGAAACAGGGCTGACACCCTTTTTGGTGTTGTATGAATTTCAGCCGTTAAAAAGAAGTAATAAAAGAAGAGTTTGCGATGGCGACATTAACACTGTTGAAATCACTTGTGGATCTGATTCTATTTCCTACTGAGATGTTATATTTTTCGTAAATAGAATATAATAATATTCACACGAATTGGTACAGACAGTATTAAGACATGTTGTAAGCCTTTAAAGAAAAATGAGAACAAATTAAAACTGAAAATTTTGATTTATTTCATTTTTTTGTCCGTTGTCATGACAAGATACAAAAATTCAGTCCGTTGTCATCGGTCCGTTGTCGCTTCTGTACTTTATACACTACGAAGGACGATCTTATGTTGTTTTAGGTATTGTTAAACATGCCATCAAAAAGAGGGGTGAGACGGTACATATTGTCGTTTTGTACATATTGTCGTCGGCGACAAAATGTACCTACCCTGACTGCACATATCGTCGTCCATCGGTACATATTGCCGCAGGCGACAATTTGTACCGAGACGAGCCTTTTTTCCTCCCGCGTAATGGAAGACAGAATGTACAGTCAAGCATGGCCACGTTTTGTCGTCGGCGACAATGTGTACTGTGAACATTTGCACATTTTGTCGCCGATAAATTGTGCTGAATATTTACTAAGGTCGTGAAGAGAGAGAGAGAGAGATATATATTGACACACATACACAGAGAAAGAGAGAGAGAGACAGACAGCTAGACAGACAGAAGGATAGACAAAGTGTTTGGCTGATAAATAAGTAAACAAATTTATTTAGCATTACTCGCACTACTGTTGGGAGAAATGGTGTTGCTCAGAAAATTGTGTCCAGTATTGGTTTTCTTGACTATGATATGTCAAAATACCGTAGTTCTTGAGATATCTGAAAAATCAGTCTATTCTTTTTTTTCATTATATATACATGGATATGAGATTGAAAGTTATTTGTTCAGTAGTAATGTTATCTGGAATTCATCTCTCTTTGCTTAATTCTCATACGAGTGCCGATATAATTGGTGTAGGGGTTGACATTTTTAGCTCACCTGAGCTGATAGCTCTAGTGAGCTCCAGTGAGCGTTTCTGATCACATTTTTTGTCGTCCGTCTGTCCGTCGGTAAACTTTTCACATTTTCAGCTTCTTCTCAGGAATTACAGGCCATTTTCAATTTCAACCAAACTTGCCAGAAAGCAAACGTGGATAAAGGGAGTCAAGTTTGTTCAAATTAATGGTCATGCCCTCTTTCAAGGAAGTATAGTTAAGAATTTGTGAAAATTTAGTGACATCTTTCAATAATCTTCTCAAGTGTCATTGTGACAGAAAAGTTGAAACTTATGTAAAAGCTTTATTATAAAGTGAAGATTCATTTTTTATTCAGATCATGTCTGGGGAAGGGTGGGGCTACAATAGGTGATCAAAGTTTAAAAAGAATATTTAAGAATAACTCTTTCAAAATTTTCCTCTCAAGAACTTCTGGATCAGAAGAAATGATACTTTTGAAACAAGAATATCAGCTGTCTCGTTTAAAGTCATCATTTTGTAAGTTCTATGGTCGATACAATGACCTTGTCAGCAAATACAATTTTTCATTGAGTCAAATGCTGACTGACGTTTTTCATACTAATTGTTAGGCCATTATTTACACACTGAATTGTCGACGGATTTTTCCGTTATTTCCCGATCATGACAAGGAGCACACGGCGGGTGTGACCGGTCGGCAGGGGATGCTCACTCCTCCATGGCACCTGACCCCACCTCTGATGTTTGGAGGTCCGTGTTTGCTCTGCTCCTATTTTGTATTGTATAATGGACTTTTGAGCTTGAATACTGTTCGTTATCTCCATATATTTCATTTTGTGAAAGTACATAATGTACTTTTAATTTTGTAGATTCTGGCATGAAAAAGATCCCACACTTTTTTGGCCCTCCACTGCGACAAGTGGTGATGTCTCCTTATGAGTGAAAACTTTTCTAGAGGGATATTTAAACAACAAACAAAAACAAATTCAATTTTGTTCAAATCATGACCCCCATGGGTAGGATGGTGCCACAATTGGTGATAAAAGTTTTACGTTGGAATATACGGTATACAGAAACTCTTTAAAAATCTGCTCAATAACCAAAGGCGGATCTAGCACCGGTGCATACTAGCTAGAATGCAGGTTCCTAAGAGAAAATGAATTGAAAATAAAAACATCGCAGAATAGTTAGCACGTTCGTGTGAGCTGCTTTAAGACGACCCCTAGATTCAAAATTATCTGTAATATGTTTTGTATTCATTTAAATTAAGCATATATTTGATCATTTCTGTTGCATTTAATGATTTACTTACATGTTAAGAAAAATGACACCGGACCAGATAAACTTAACATGTACTGACAACGGACTTTTTGCTTATAAATTGCGATTTCTTAAAACATGTAAGCTACAAAAGGCTGTCACTTGCCTAATACATTTAAAATGAAGTTTCTCTTTATATTTTAAAATAAAAGAACCATTTCGATGAATTAAATATAAGAAATATATAATTTTCCAGCTCACGATCATGCCTTCACACATGGGCATGTGATCGCCAACCAAAACTCCTCAAAATGTGTTAAGGATATCAAATACATAAATCTTTGTATGGAATACTGAATGTTGTATCTGTTTCCCAAAATTCAAATTTATTCTTAGAATTTGTCAAAAACGTTAAATTTTATGCATTAAGTATAAATTCTTGTATCTTTTGCATGACACCGGACGGATTTTATCATAACCTCACCTGTATGTTCATGACAACGAACCAGTTTCAGTGCTTAATTTTAAAGGTTTCTGACAACGGTACTAAGAACTTAACGTGTTCCTGGCCGTGTTCTACATCTATCTGTAGATGTTTCCCCATCATTTTACTCAGACAAGATAATACAAAGAGGAATATTCGTATAAGATTAATATTTCAGAACTTTATATTTAAGTTATATGCTGCCATAATTTTTATTAAACAGACAAATGGACACACAGAGAGAGAGATATTCCGTTTTCACCCTCCCCCTTCTTTTCAGGCTTCACCAAATGTTTGTACAAAATCTTATTTATCAGGCAATGAAATGAAATGTGTGGAGATGACGAACAGTATTCAAGCTCAAAAGTCCATTAAACAATAAAAAATAGCAGCAGAGCAAACACGGACCTCCAAAACATCAGAGGTGGGATCAGGTGCCATGGAGGAGTGAGCCTCCCCTGCCGACCGGTCACACCCGCTGTGAGCTCCTTGTCATGATCGGGAAATAACGGAAAAATCCGTCGACAATTCAGTGTGTAAATAATGGCCTGACAATTAGTATTAAAAACGTAAGTCAGCATTTGACTCAATGATAAATTGTATTAAGTAACTTTTTTTAACCAACAAATCCATTTGTTTGACAGTCTTACTTGTTTTTCTTTTAATTTCCCTGCTTCAAGTTCACACGAAGTCCACGTGCTTGTCCTGTCAATCAAAATCATTCGACACTGTGCAGGTGTGAAATTCTCGTCACACCAAAGAAGAAGTGCTAGTATTTCCAACACGTTTTAACATTAATTTTATCATTTCTAGATTTGATTCCAACATTTCTAATAATAATTATAATAAATAAAATACATTGGGCATTAACACTTGAATTCGAAACATACTCTCTTCCAATTTAAAATACCACCGCCGACACGTGTATATTTTGAACTACTGTTGTTCAATGACTTTTTTAGATGCATATTGGTTTGAGGCTGCAATTGTTGTGCTACAAAACACATTAACGTCTTTTTAAATGTTAATTAAAATATACTGGAAATACTAAGTAACCGATTTAGGGGGGGGGGGGGTGTCTCTTAATCATATCGAATGGCAAACATATAAAGTTACGGCGAAGGAAGAATTTATTTTCTCTATAATTATAGACTTTATATATTATAGTATAGAAAATCATGTAGTGTTTTACATTTTAAATAAATATTTTTAAAGCACACTATCGATTCAATTCGCTCCAAAGATATTTAATCAACAGGATATCCGCAGTACAATGTATAATTCTCAGAACTAGTTCTATCATGTTTCTGTAGTAATTGAATAAAACGTGTTAGAAATACTTATTTTCGTAATTTTGCTTCAGTTTTTAAGTTAATTGACTTGGATAATTATCTATCCATTAACGATTTGTCGTCTTTAACATAGCAACAAAATGTTGCAGTGCTTGAAGTATCTAAATATTACCCGTATTTAAAATTAATTTTTCAGCATCGTTCTACATAGGTACATACTTTTAACAACATTCATTTTCCAGAGTAAATTACCTTACAGCTAGTTAGAATAATAAATAATAATAAGTTAGAATATTGTGGATAATATTTTTCCCTTGAGATAATGATTCTTTAAACACGATATGCTAATTATTAAATTATAAAAGCTGTAAATCCTTACTAACAAAAAGATAAGTCCTTTCACTTCGGAGTTCCGAATGACACTGAAGACTGAACGATAAGTGAACAAAATGAGAGCGAACGCTGAACGCTTTGTGAACGGTGAACGCGAGCGCACGGTGAACGCTGAACGCAAAACTGTGAACGGAGAGCGAACGGTGAACGAACGGTGAGCGAACGGAAAAATGGGAAAGTAGAACATATCAGGGACTGTACCTGTTAATATCCGTTTCCACGGACGCCAAGAAATTTCCGGTCGTCATATTCCTCGGATCTCTACAAAAATAATCTTATTCATTTTGGTCAATGACAATCCAGATTTCATCACTGAATATCACCTTTTTTCCATTATTATTCTATATGATAAATTTCGACAACAATTAACACAGCAAATACGATTTACAGACCGTATTACCGATGATTTTCTTCTAGTGAAACATAAAAAATCGCGAATGCCCGTTTGTGAAGAGATAGCAATGGGTTATTTGTTGACTTCATCAATTATATCATTCCGAGTTCATCAATTATATCCGTCCGAGTTTGCGTTATTTCAAGTTCCTCAGTCTTGTACCATCAGTTGTGCTGGAAGTTTTATGCAAGAATGGAATGGATATTATGGAAACTACTTCCTGAGGGAAGTCACGGAGGGAAATGATTTCTCGAGGAGTTTGCCTTTTCCTTCATCCTTGACTGTTTAACTATACAAAAAGAATCTAAATAGAGTATATTTTTATTAAATCAGATCTTCAGGCAATATTCTTAGATAATAAAAGGAAATTCAGATAAACACAGTTAACTGAAATAATTGAATTACCAATTTATCAGTATAGAGACAAATAATAAGGTTAAAATGACCTAATATCAATGATATTTTAGAGTCCTGTTGAGCTCGTCATTTTGCCATTATTCCAGTATGATTCTTACTTAGCAAAGGTTTTGATTTGATAGTTAATTTGCAAATAACATCACGTCACAGACTCGAGATTCCTGAAACGCCCCATTCCCAAGAGAATTTTTGTTGGTTAAAAATATTAAGGGGAATATAACAGGGGAGATAGTCCAAAAGAGAGAAGTTCTGACTTTTAAGGGAGTAGTCGTCCAATTCAGGAGGGGGGTTATCGGGGAAAAAGATATCTCTGTTGTCAACAGTTTATGTATGGTAAGTTTACAGTAGATGTATTAGAAAAGGTATATAAGACGTATATAGAAAACCTATATAATGATATAAGACGGTATCCGAGCTATTACTCTATCGGGACCATCTCTCTACTCCACCAACATGTGTACAAGTAGTTTGATCATGATCAGGGGCTGTTGCACACTTTCCTATGAACCAACGTGCGTGTTTATTTTGAAAAAAAAAAGCTTTAATGTCGAAGAATTCATTCATTGTCAAAGTGACATATAGTTATGATTTTTAATCACGATAGATAATAACAAATAACGCTAGGGATTTACAAATAATCCAGATTTGTTAAAATACAATCGAAATAAGGTCCTATTTCCTTTTTTCCTGTCTGTATGAATTTGATAATAAAATAAGATTTTACTTTTAATACTTTTCAATGAATTGTTATAAGCAGTTTTAAATATTCGTGCTGGCTAACATATTTTCTAGAACCTCTGTACAAGATACCATCATATGCTGATATCTTTGATTTACATGTATGTAACTACATACAAAAGTTCTTGTGTAGTTTCCATACGGCTTAGATGAAGTTTCCGGTAAAATAAGACATATCATAATTAATTACAGGCACCAGATGGATACATAATAAAAATGACTATAGATGACCTCCATATGGCATATAACCCGGAAACAGTTCGGTGTTATCATTGGCTTGAGATTCAGTACAACCTTCCGGGACAACCTGGCATCCGGTAACGTAGCAACATCATACAACCATGGGTTTATGAAATATGAAGATAACGAACAGTAATCAAACTAAAATCCATAGGAACAATACAAAAACACGTACCTAATAAGAGGTGGGATCAGATGCCATTGAGAAGTAAGCACCCCCTGTCGACCAGTCACAACTGCTAGGTGCTCCTTGAGAAGGATCTGGCAAACAGAAAGATAGATCATACGACGCTGAAAAATGAAATAAAATACATTAAAGTCACAGAATGAACCGATATGATTCAGTCAGATAAACAGTGACTGAAAGGCAAAGGTCTAAAATTCAGTCAACTTTTTCTAGAAATTCAGTTACTGAATGGCAAAATTTTATCCTGTGCTTAGAATTCTTTAAAGCGAAACAAATAAATGGTGAAGTAACATTTAAACGTTGAAAGTTTAACTATGCAACCAAGAAATATGATATACAACAAACAATACAGCAACACGGACATATAGTAAAGTAAATATGATACACATCAAACAGTACAGCAACACGGATATATAGTAAGGTAAATGTGATACACATCAAACAGTACAGAACACAACAAACAGAACAGCAACACGGACATATGATACACATCAAATAGTACAGCAACACGGACATATAGTAAGGTAAATATGATACACATCAAACAATACAGCAACACGGACATATAGTAAGGTAAATATGATACACATCAAACAATACAGCAACACGGACATATAGTAAGGTAAATATGATACACATCAAACAATACAGCAACACAGACATATAGTAAGGTAAATATGATACACAACAAACAATACAGCAACACAGACATATGATACACAACAAACAATATAGCAACACAGACATATGATACACAACAAACAATACAGCAACACAGACATATGATATACAACAAACAATACAGCAACACGGACATATAGTAAGGTAAATATGATACACAACAAACAATACAGCAACACAGACATGATACACAACAAACAATATAGCAACACAGTCATAGGATATACAACAATCAATACAGCAACACGGACATATAGTAAGATAAATATGATACATAACAAACAATACAGCAACACTGACATATGATACACAACAAACAATACAGCAACACAGACATTTAATATACAACAAACAATACAGCAACACGGACATATAGTAAGGTAAATATGATACACAACAAACAATACAGCAACACAGACATATGATACACAACAACACAGACATATGATATACAACAAACAATACAGGAACACGGACATATAGTAAGGTAAATATGACACACATCAAACAATACAGCAACACGGACATATAGTAAGATAAATATGATATACAACAAACATACAGCAACAAAGACATATGATACACAACAAACAGTACAGCAACACGGACATATGATACACATCAAACAATACAGCAACACAGACATATGATACACATCAAACAGTACAACAACACGGACATATGATATACAACAAACAGTAAAGAAACACGGACATATAGTAAGGTAAATATGATACACATCAAACAATACAGCAACACAGACATATAGTAAAGTAAATATGATACACATCAAACAATACAGAAACATGGACATATGATACACAACAAACAGTACAACAACACGGACATATGATACACAACAAACAGTACAACAACACAGACATATGATATACAACAAACAGTACAGCAACATATATATATAGTAAGGTAAATATGATACACATCAAACAATACAGCAACACAGACATATAGTAAAGTAAATATGATACACATCAAACAATACAGCAACATGGACATATGATACACAACAAACAGTACAACAACACGGACATATGATACACATCAAACAGTACAACAACACAGACATATGATATACAACAAACAGTACAGCAACACGGATATATAGTAAGGTAAATATGATACACATCAAACAATACAGCAACACAGACATATAGTAAAGTAAATATGATACACATCAAACAATACAGCAACATGGACATATGATACACAACAAACAGTACAACAACACGGACATATGATATACAACAAACAGTACAGCAACACGGATATATAGTAAGGGAAATATACACGCAACAAACAGTACAGCAACACGGACATACGATATATAACAAACAGCTCAGCAACACGGACATATGACACATAACAAAAAGCTCAGCAACACAGACATATGATACATAACAGCTAGCTCAGCAACACGGACATATAGCAAGGTAAATATTACACGCATCAAACAGTTCAGCAACACGGACATATGATACATAACAAACAGTTCAGCAACACGGACATATGATACATAACAAACAGCTCTGCATCACTGACATATAGTAAAGTAAATATTACACGCAACAAACAGTAAAGCAAGACGGAAATATAATAAGGTAAATATAATGCAAAACGTACAGTACAGCAACACGCACACCAAGAAAGGAAATATGGTACACAATGGTCTTACTCTGTCATTCGAAAAAATAATAATTCGCATTTGCTTACATAACACTGGTAATTATGAAAGTAACACTTTCTACGTATATTAAGCCACTAGTAATTCCTTTCCATTACACTTAAATAAAAGAAAGTCATTCTTGTAAGCAAAAAGCATTTTAAAAATGTGTGAAATGAAAGCAGTACATATATATAAGTGATGGCTTTAAGTAAGGTTTCTCTTTATTGTGGTTTTCTTTTTATGTGATATATTACATGTATATAAAGATGACTACGATTTATTGCCATTGAAATGGCTTATCTAACTTTATCTCAATGTATTCTATTGGTGGACAGTCGTTGTGGTGATATCGTTGGAGAAACCCACCTGACGTCAGTCGATTCACCCACGTTAATGATCGTTACCATGGATACCAAATTTGCAGGCAGCAGGGTTACACATAAAGGATTCAAACTTCACTTTGAAAACGAGAGAGAAGGTACATATTTAATACCCTGTTCACACGGAGAGTTTAATTCGCAGCGCGGGTATGTTAAGGCTACACCCAGAGATATCCTACTTGCCTTTACAATATGACGTCATAGTAAGCTGTATGACGTGAACTTTAGAAATAATGATGTCTTAATATCTATATTTAAAGTTTAATTTCAGGTCAAAGAAATGAATGGAATCATTCAAAACATAATATAAACTAAATATTATCGTTTTGGGGTGGTATAAATAGCTACGTATTTAGCACTGGGGTTAAATACCAAACCCATGACGTCATAACTATTGATCAAATATTTGCCGAGTGAAGTTAAACGTGACGAGAATTCATGTAAACAAATAGATGAAATGGGAGTTTTAAAACATATACCGTGAATGTTATGTGTGATTCATAAGGAATTAAAGATTAAGAATCAGGTACGCTGATATATTCTTATCATGTTTTGTTATAATGAACACAGGCAGTGCTTTGAAATCCCGATCAGCCTTTCCTCTGTCTTTCTATAGCAGCAAAGATGCAAAAGTTCAACACTACGACGCATACTTTGAAACAAATTTTTTGTTTGTATCGAAAGCTTGTATTATATAGTACTTGGAAAGTGCTGCTAGAATCGTGTTGTTAACATGAATTGATAACAATTCCTTGATCGTATGTATAAAATGTAAAAAATTTGGTAAGGTTTCATGTGAAACTTTGGAATATTTTTTTCTGTGTCGGGAGAGTAGGATTCTAGCAGCACTTTTCATGGCCCAGTGATGTTTTTACATAATTATTTTCACTAAAAGAATTGAATTAGCTCCGGGGTAGTGTTGAACTTTTCACTTTTTCATAAAGGCAATTTTTCTATTTATAGACGTCACGTGATGACGTCGTAGTGGAGTGCTTCTTTTAGCCTAAGACTCAATGACGTCTATACAAGGAATAATAATAGTAAATGTTTTATCTATGACTTTTGCGATTTATTAATGTTACATTTTACGAAAAAAGTCTAAATTCACCGAAATATGATCTGGGTACTGCCTTAACATACCTGCGAGCAAATTAATGCGAAGTAAAATGATGCGAATTAAACTAATGCGAATTAAATTGCCTTCACACGACAGCCAATGCAAAGTAAACTAATGCGAATTATAATTTTATTACTAAAACAAGGCTATTCAGTGAGGCTATTATTACGTCATTTACAAATAACGTCATATTGTGTACAGCAGATTATACATTTGACATAATGTCATAGTGTCTGTACACATTTTATTGATTAACATAATTTTCCTTTGTTTTCCGCTCAAGAATAGCACAAGTATCTATATTTGACCATCGACATATGGCCTGTGACTTAATTCTGCCCTTACGCATGCGTCAAAATTTAATTCGAATTAGCTTCGCTTAGCGTTCACACGGAGCTAATGCAAAGTGATTTTATGCGCAGTAAACTAACTCGAACTGAACTAATTCGCATTAAATCTTCCATGTGAACGCGGATCATATTTAATTCGCAGTAACGTACGTTTAATTCGAATTAAACTCTCCGTGCGAACAGGGCATAAGTACCTGTCTAATACTAATATGAGTGGAACTACATTTATACATTTATTTCTTTTTCTATGGTTCAGATTCTAGATTCTTGGTCATTTAGAACACTTTGATCATAACAGTAAAACACGGTTTAGCTAACTCGCTTATAATGATTTTACTCTTAGAGGAAAATGATTTTATTTTACTGTAGTTTAAAAAGTTATTATAAGCATTAAAACTTATGTCTTGAAAAAATCTTTGGCACTTCTTTGTAATCGTGCTTTTTTCTGTAGTGTGTAGAGACAACCCTTGTCAGTATGGAGTGTGTATTCCCTCCCAGCACTTCTTTATAATCGTGTTTTTTTTTCTGTAGCGTGTAGGGACAACCCTTGTCAGTATGGAGTGTGTATTCCCTCCCAGCACTTCTTTATAAAAGTGCTTTTTTCTGTAGTGTGTAGGGACAACTCTTGTCAGTATGGAGTGTGTATTCCCTCCCAGCACTTCTTTATAATCGTGTTTTTTTTCTGTAGCGTGTAGGGACAATCTTTGTCAGTATGGAGTGTGTATTCCCTCCCAGCACTTCTTTATAATCGTGGTTTTTTCTGTAGCGTGTAGGGACAACCCTTGTCAGTATGGAGTGTGTATTCCCTCCCAGCACTTCTTTATAATTGTGCTTTTTAGCTCACCTCGACGAAGTCGAGATGAGCTTATGCTATACCCCCGGCGTCGGCGTCGGCGTCGGTGTCGGCGTCGGCGTTAGCGTCGGCGTCCCAGGTTAAAGTTTTAGGAGCAAGTCCCATTCCCAAGTAACTATAAGCCCTACCTGGACCAAACTTGCATGGATGATGCATCTAGGGATGGACACTACCACACTTGCTTCGGATGCTGGATCTGACCTAGATTTTCCGGATGAGTGACCAGGTTAAAGTTTAAGGAGCAGGTCCATTCCCAAGTAACTATAAGCCCTACCTGGACCAAACTTGCATGGATGATGCATCTAGGGATGGACTCTACCACACTTACTTCGGATGCTGGATCTGACCTAGATTTTCCGGATGAGTGACCAGGTTAAAGTTTAAGGAGCAGGTCCATTCCCAAGTAACTATAAGCCCTACCTGGACCAAACTTGCATGAATGATGCATCTAGGGATGGACACTACCACACTTGCTTCGGATGCTGGATCTGACCTAGATTTTCCAGATGAGTGACCAGGTTAAAGTTTTAGGAGCAGGTCCATTCCCAAGTAACTATAAGCCCTACCTGGACCAAACTTGCATGGATGATGCATCTAGGGATGGACATGGCCACACTTACTTCGGATGCTGGATCTGAACTAGATTTTCCGGATGAGTGACCAGGTTAAAGTTTAAGGAGCAGGTCCATTCCCAAGTAACTATAAGCCCTACCTGGACCAAACTTGCATGGATGATGCATCTAGGGATGGACACTACCACACTTGCTTCGGATGCTGGATCTGACCTAGATTTTCCAGATGAGTGACCAGGTTAAAGTTTTAGGAGCAGGTCCATTCCCAAGTAACTATAAGCCCTACCCGGACCAAACTTGCATGGATGATGCATCTAGGGATGGACATGGCCACACTTACTTCGGATGCTGGATCTGACCTAGATTTTCCGGATGAGTGACCAGGTTAAAGTTTAAGGAGCAGGTCCATTCCCAAGTAACTATAAGCCCTACCTTGACCAAACTTGCATGGATGATGCATCTACGGATGGACACTACCACACTTGCTTATGCTATACCCCCGGCGTCGGCGTCGGCGTCGGTGTCGGCGTCGGCGTTAGCGTCGGCGTCCCAGGTTAAAGTTTTAGGAGCAAGTCCCATTCCCAAGTAACTATAAGCCCTACCTGGACCAAACTTGCATGGATGATGCATCTAGGGATGGACACTACCACACTTGCTTCGGATGCTGGATCTGACCTAGATTTTCCGGATGAGTGACCAGGTTAAAGTTTAAGGAGCAGGTCCATTCCCAAGTAACTATAAGCCCTACCTGGACCAAACTTGCATGGATGATGCATCTAGGGATGGACTCTACCACACTTACTTCGGATGCTGGATCTGACCTAGATTTTCCGGATGAGTGACCAGGTTAAAGTTTAAGGAGCAGGTCCATTCCCAAGTAACTATAAGCCCTACCTGGACCAAACTTGCATGAATGATGCATCTAGGGATGGACACTACCACACTTGCTTCGGATGCTGGATCTGACCTAGATTTTCCAGATGAGTGACCAGGTTAAAGTTTTAGGAGCAGGTCCATTCCCAAGTAACTATAAGCCCTACCTGGACCAAACTTGCATGGATGATGCATCTAGGGATGGACATGGCCACACTTACTTCGGATGCTGGATCTGAACTAGATTTTCCGGATGAGTGACCAGGTTAAAGTTTAAGGAGCAGGTCCATTCCCAAGTAACTATAAGCCCTACCTGGACCAAACTTGCATGGATGATGCATCTAGGGATGGACACTACCACACTTGCTTCGGATGCTGGATCTGACCTAGATTTTCCAGATGAGTGACCAGGTTAAAGTTTTAGGAGCAGGTCCATTCCCAAGTAACTATAAGCCCTACCCGGACCAAACTTGCATGGATGATGCATCTAGGGATGGACATGGCCACACTTACTTCGGATGCTGGATCTGACCTAGATTTTCCGGATGAGTGACCAGGTTAAAGTTTAAGGAGCAGGTCCATTCCCAAGTAACTATAAGCCCTACCTTGACCAAACTTGCATGGATGATGCATCTACGGATGGACACTACCACACTTGCTTCGGATGCTGGATCTGACCTAGATTTTCCAGATGAGTGACCAGGTTAAAGTTTTAGGAGCAGGTCCATTCCCAAGTAACTATAAGCCCTACCTGGACCAAACTTGCATGGATGATGCATCTAGGGATGGACATGGCCACACTTACTTCGGATGCTGGATCTGAACTAGATTTTCCGGATGAGTGACCAGGTTAAAGTTTAAGAAGCAGGTCCATTCCCAAGTAACTATAAGCCCTACCTTGACCAAACTTGCATGGATGATGCATCTAGGGATGGACACTACCACACTTGCTTCAGATGCTGGATCTGACCTAGATTTTCCAGATGAGTGACCAGGTTAAAGTTTTAGGAGCAGGTCCATTCCCAAGTAACTATAAGCCCTACCCGGACCAAACTTGCATGGATGATGCATCTAGGGATGGACATGGCCACACTTACTTCGGATGCTGGATCTGAACTAGATTTTCCGGATGAGTGACCAGGTTAAAGTTTAAGGAGCAGGTCCATTCCCAAGTAACTATAAGCCCTACCTTGACCAAACTTGCATGGATGATGCATCTAGGGATGGACACTACCACACTTGCTTCGGATGCTGGATCTGACCTAGATTTTCCAGATGAGTGACCAGGTTAAAGTTTTAGGAGCAGGTCCATTCCCAAGTAACTATAAGCCCTACCCGGACCAAACTTGCATGGATGATGCATCCAGGGATGGACACTACCACACTTGCTTCGGATGCTGGATCTGACCTAGATTTTCCACATGTGAGACCAGGTTTAGATTTAGGAGTAGTCTCGTTTCCAAGTAACTATAAGCCCTACCTGGACCAAACTTTCATGGATGATGCATCTAGGGATGTACACTAACCAACCTGCTTCGAATGCTGGATCTGACCTAGATTTTCCACATGAGTGAATTTTAGCCATATTTTAACCAAATTAGCATGGATGATGTATCTAGGGATGGACACTTCCAGACTTGCCTTGGATTCTGAATCTGATGTACATTTTCCAGATGAGTGACCAGGGTAATTTTTTGGAGTAGCTATATAATATTATGGCCTGTTATGATTAAACTTGCATAGATGGTGCATCTAAGGATGAAAACTTCCAGACTTGCTTTGGATGTTGGAAGTGACCAAAATTTTCTTGATTACTAAACAGGTCAAAAGTTTTTTGAGCAGGTCTATAATTAAATCAAACTTGCATGGCCATTGATCTTGGGATGTACCCTAACTAGAAAAAAAATATGATGTGAAATTTGCCTTACATGTAGATAACATTCGTCGAGGTGAGCTTCGTAATCTTTGATTACCTATGTTTTTCTTTAGTGTGTAGGGACAACCTTTGTCAGTATGGAGTGTGTATTCCCTCCCAGCAGAAGGCGTGCCAGTACAAGTGTGTATGTCAGCCCGGATACACGGGGGACAACTGTGAACAAGTTATTGGTATGATGAAAATATACAGATTAGCCTTTTTATGACCTAGCATAAAGTACGTTTCTTTAAATTCAGTATATATATGTATTGACCGAATAAAGGGACCACATTTTATTTATATATATTTACATTTCCAAATATTTTTCCTTAAGATTCTTTGCAATTTGAAAAAGAGTTCGTGTTCTCATGAACTACGATGTGTGACTAAAGTATCTCCATTGTGATGTCACAAAACCATACATGACGGCTAAACTATAGTGCAAGCTGTTTTGTTTCAAAAATGATATTTGGATAACATAAAGAGCTAAATCCACGAAGGGGCTAAATCGGCCTATTTTTTTCAGGAAAATTAAACTGAGGGGAAGAAGAAAATTAACAATAGAAATATTATCCTTGAAAGTTTTATTTGATGACGTCATATTTGTACAGAAAACGTCTAAACACGCGCACTTTGCTAGTTTTTATCAAAATAAAGCATTTTTTTCGTCTTTGGTTCAAATATTTGCTGTGGCCACACCCTTCGATCACAAAAAATTTTATACCATTGAAAAGAGGATTAAAATATGAATAAATAAAGTATATTCTTATTTTGTTCGAGGGGTGTGGCCACATCGAAATTAATACTTTTCGTTCGATCCAAATACCTTAGCACCGACTCGCACTGTGAAAATAGCGGGGATTACCCTACATTAATACAAAAGAAAAAGATTCTATATTGTTTTTGTAAATATTAAAAAGTTTCGAAATGCGAATGTTAAATTTATCATAAGTTATTTTGTGTTGTTTTGCAAAAAAGTACGAAAAATTCTCGCTAAGCATGACTGCATGTAGATGCAATAATGTCGACATTTTGTGTACTACGTGCCTCAGTCCTGACCCAAGACTTTTCCTTCAAGAAGTTGATCTATAACTCATCATTATGCTGAAATGTTAAAAAAATAATAATGTGTTTTCTTTCCTCTGACAGCCTACTTATTTATGCTTTGAATTTGTTTTCCAACTCCCGGCTCCTCGTCACCATGGTCACTATGTAATCAAAGGGAGATCACCCGAGAAACATGTAGGCTTCATCTTTATTTTCTCCTGAGTGGCAGAGTCGGAATAGCCTAGAATATTAAACAATTAACATCGGATGCAACTACCAAGACGTATTTATAATGATTGTTTTGCCACCTTACAAAACATAAATTGTGTAAGTCGTGAAGTCTGCATCGACAGCACACAAATGGTTAATGTTACGCAATAGAGTCTATTATAACTAACGATGTACATGTAATTTAAATATCCTTAATTCTCATTATATCGCGGGTTCGATTGTTTCGCGGTATTTCCCAAAAATTAGGATACATAGCTCATATCCTTTTTGTTGATGGACTATCTGTCTGTCGTCTGAATGTTGACTTTTGTGATGATTAAAAAGTATGGAACACCCTTTTGGAAAAATATTTATTCAAATAAAAACGAAATTTTACAGATTTCCATTCCCGTTTTTATTTTATTTAGACCATTGAATATATAACCAAGTAAAATCCATAATAAAGTTCATTTTTTGAAAACCTTAAGTTTGTATTATACTTAAGTTTTCATGTAGATTTTCATCATAAATTAAAACAAGATGTGTTTGTGAAACACTGATGCCCCCGTATGGCAGCTTATGTCGAAGGTTAAAGTTTCTCAAATGCAAGTCAAAATCCAGGCCAAAAGATAAAAAATGTTGATACCCAAAGAAAGATCTTGTCTCGAGGAAAACACCTGTGAAATTTGAAAGACCTAGATACAACTGTTCAAAAGTTATGGTGAAGGTTAAAGTTTTTTAAATAGAAGTCAAGGTCAAGGTCAAAGTGATCGGTATCCAAAGGAAGACCTTGTCACAAGGATTACATATGTGAAGTATGAAAGCCCTAGCACCAACCATTCAAAAGTTATGGCCAAGGTTAAAGTTTTTCAAAAGTAGCTCAAACTCCTAGGTCAAGGTCAAAAGGTCAAAGTGGTTGGTATCCAAAGGAAGGTCTTGTCACAAGGATTACATATGTGAAGTATGAAAGCCCTAGCTCCAACCATTCAAAAGTTATGGCCAAGGTTAAAGTTTTTCAAAAGTAGGTCAAACTCCTAGGTCAAGGTCAAAAGATCAAAGTCGTTGGTATTCAAAGGAAGGTCTTGTCACAAGGATTACATATGTGAAGTATGAAAGCCCTAGCTCCAACCATTCAAAAGTTACGGCCAAGGTTAAAGTTTTTCAAAAGTAGGTCAAACTCCTAGGTCAAGGTCAAAAGGGTCAAAGTGGTTGATATCCAGAGGAAGGTCTTGTCACAAGGAATACACATGTGAAGTTTGAAACCCTAAGCACCAACTGTTCAAAAGTTATGGCCAAGGTTAAAGTTTTTCAAAAGTAGGTCAAAGTCCAAGGTCAAGGTCAAAAGGTCAAAGTTGTTGGTATCCAAAAGAAGGCCTTGTCACAAAGAATACACATGTGAAGTTTGAAACCCCAAGCTCCAACTGTTCAGAAGTTATGGCCAAGGTTAAAGTCTCATAAAATTTTGCAAAAGTGGGTCAAACTCCAAGGTCAAGGTCAAAAGGTCAAATATGATGGTACCCAAAGAAAGGTCTTGTCACAAGAAATACACATGTGAAATATGAAAGTCATAGCTCCAACCAATCAAAAGTTATGGGCAAGGTTAAAGTTGACAACAGACAGACAGACAAACAGACAAACGGACGAACAGACAAACAAACAGACAAACAGACAGACAGGACAAAAACAATATACCCCCGGGATCTTTCGATCCGGGGGCATAAAAATAAAAATTGTACTTTGTGACCGTGCCAAACCTCCATGTTTTCAATACCGCGATAGAATGAGACTCTCCTCTTTTGGAGGTAAATAAGACTTCCTGTTATAGAAATAGAATACAAAGTAAACGAAGAAAGCTAAGAAAATAATTAACCACTAAAAAGTTAGGCAATTAATAGGTTTATGAATAGTATTTGGTGAAAAGTTAATGTAAGAATTTGGAATAACTTTTTTATGCAAAATAAATAATTACCGCGATATTATGAGACACCAGTATATAACCCATACCCAACATGCGTTTCAGAAATCGCCAGTGACATTTTAAGACAAAAGATTAATTAATATTTATTAGTGAAAACCTTTACTGATCCGAGACTTCTTAACATAAATTATGTTACGAAGTACTGATCTAGAAAATTCGAGTTGACAGATCAAATAAACAAAAGATTGATTTTACAGATCGCATGTAATTTTTGTGATAGGCCTCTATAAGAAAAATGCCCTATATTGTATAAACGAATAACTTACTACCAAGGAAGTGACAACTCTTTATGGTTTTAAGTAATTTCAGTATTGCATGCTTGCTGTGACCCAGTCAACGCATGAAACAAAATGTCAAAGGGAGGCTACTTGCTATCTCTTTGTATTTTGAGTTACTCCACTTAAATGTAATAGGCCCAAGGGAGAGAGCGCAACCAAGATTAGCAAGCATGTTTATAATGTAGTAGTGTAAATTTATAATAGGTACTCCCCAAAATGGGAGTGTGTAAGATAAGATAATATGATAAGAAAACGATTAGTAAGCAATAATTAATTCGATGGTTTTTGTCATCTGAAATCTTCATACCTATTGTGGGTATATAAAAAACGTTTCTCTTTGATGATATAACATATTTATCATAATTAGTGAGCTTTATTTCGATTAAGTAATTTACATTGAGTAAAGTGGTATACTGCCATTTCCGTTTATCTTGTTTTTTTTAACTTCAGGTTCCGTTTTGAAATTCAAATACTCCGGAAATCTTATGTTTTCGTTGGACTTTTTTTTTTGCGGCCGATTTGATGCTTTGCATCACTCTTGTTTAAAAGTCTGTAGTGGCTTCTTTCCTGTCAATCTGTGGTGCGAAGGATTACCGTCAAACATCACTATTGGACGTGTATTACATGTATGGACAATTTCATTTCAAATGTCCGGGAAATGCCATCAATTAGGGAAGTGCAACGAAATTCTCAAAATGACAATAGAATAGATGGTAACTTCAAACGTATTCATTTTAAATGCAACTTTTCATTTTAATTTTATGTTTTTGTTATTAAAGAGTACTTTATTGTTGTTTTCAGCTTAACATGTCTCTTATCATTTAAAACGTGTTACATGTATAAACGATAATACCAGACAACCGTTGTATATAACAAATATTTAGCATTTCTTTAGAGTGCAAATAGCTTTAATTAAAAAATAAACCAAAAGTTTTCAGAACTTCTTGAAAAATTCATAGTAAAATTTTCCCAAAATTTTAAAGAGCCTATATTGGTTATTTTTATTCCATATGTACATATGTTACTTTCTTATACAAAATGTCAACGTCACGACGTTAAAGTATGAAACGTCAACGTAATGACGTGATAGTATTAATAGGGAAACAATACCAAATTAAAACGAATGTAAAAAGAAAACCAGAAAAGATTTTGTTAAAAAATAAATTGTTTTACAACATACAAATCTAAGAGTTTTATTTGAGAAAGTTTCATTTATTTTGATAACTGGGCCGATTTAGCCCCTTCGTGGATTTAGCTCTTTGTGGCCAGTTTTCAAAAAATAATGTAAATATGATACGCAGTACAGTTAGGTGTCAAATGGAAATATCGGCGAATTTTTTAGATAGAAAATACATTCTTTACAAGGATGGGCGTTTCTTTTTAGGACTTTACTATTATCGGACAAATGCAATGTGGTTGAAAACTACATGTTGAGGACGATTAGATTTCTTATTTAGACTTGTCACGTGATGTTGCCGTCATGTGATTTTAGCAAATATACCTGAAGTATTGAAGTCATCTATAAATTCTAATATTGCAATTGCATAATCAAGTTAAAAATCTAAATTTAACAAATAATTATTTTCAACACTCTTTGTAGTTTGTGAAAAGTGCTGCGAACCTATATAGATTCTACAATCTAATTGCTAAAATTGCATTTGTTAGACCGTATATTGAA